TGCCACATTTAAGATTTTTAAGGACTGGACCCTCTTAAAAAATTCCAACACGGTTACTATTATAGCTTAGATACAGTATATAATTATACTGTAAAGTCTTGTATTCTTATTGGATAGACCTACCCGTGGGTACCCAGGTAATTCGGAACCTTAGAGATTCTTTAATTGTTTTATAAATTTGGTTAATTTCTATGATGCCATTGCACATCGTCATGATTTAATCATGGCCACAAGTAATATTAAATAGCTATTAGGCGTTAGAAGATGCAATGACATATTTATGACGTAAACCAAAGTTCATGTACGTCACGTACTATAGTTTACCATTACGACATATGGAATACACTTGGATAAATATTACGATTGGCAAATTGTCAATTTGATTTAATGTAAATTAATTTTTTTTTTTATTGGTGTCGTCTTAGACGCAGCAAAATTTTTCTGTTTGAATATTGAAACTTCATTTAACGTTATTTTTTATATTTGTACAAGGGGGGGGTCTAGCTTTCCGAAATTTACCGATCTGTTTCGAATTTCTCTGCGATACTCATATTGTTTAATTTTAGAGAGGAGCTTTAGAAGTGGTGGGGAAAATAACAAAGATTTAATTTCAAACAGCTTTATTGTAAAAAGTATATAAGTATAGTCTTCCTGTTTTGAATAAAATATCACTAAGCCGATAAAAATTATTTCCTAATAAAAAGTACAGAACCTTCTTTTGACAAATAAAACTTCTAACCTAATCTGCGCAAATTATAAAAACTTGATCCCATGAAACGTCATGTTGCCGAATTTTTACTATTCGAATAAAGAGTAAAGCCGAATTGTAATGTTTGTAAGGGAACTTGCTGATAAATCGTCTGATAACTATCCTTAGGATAAGGTTAGAATGTTTTGGTTGATTTAAGGAAGTTAGAACCTATAGAACACTAATCACATGATACAAGAAGAGCGACTGACTTATCGTTTTCAAGTATGACATCTGTTAATTAGAAATAACAACATTTTTATATTTTTTATTAGAAAATGAAATAGGATGAGATTTGTAATCCTTTAATTTTGGTGGCATGCTATTGTAATAGTATCAACTTCACAAAATATATGCTTAAGTTCAAGAAATTATTATATAATAATATCGGTTCAGTTATTATGACAAGAAATAACTAGATTGTAATTTAAACAAAAAAATAATATTGCAAAAAGCATTATTAATAAATGTAATCATAAAATAAGTTACACTTAAAATAGAATGTGCAATCATTTATTTACTTATCTCCATCCGTCTAAAATTATCTTGAAAATGATAATGTATATCGTTGGAATATTATTGGGAATCCGGGAATTAAAAAAACTTACTTCAATTATTATCTATCTTTATCGTCTTGCACAACAAAATAAACAGTTGTATATCACAAATATGACATTCCTCCAATTCTCTTCAGTGAGGAAAGAGTTTTAAATAGTTTCGATGATCATATTCATGAATTTGGAAAAAGATGCTTGGTATATAGGAAACCAATGGAATACATTACAAAAACAATTCTAATCTGCTCGCATTCAATAAACTTGGAAAAATTATTCAATATATGTCAGTGAGGTTTTAGAAAGAGACTGATACATGAAAAAGTATACTTTTCCATGATATTACTCATAAAAAGGTTAAGGAATTAGATAATAAATAGGGTGGAATTCCTCGTTTTACTTTGTTTACAGCTGTTTTCAAAAAGGTGTGAACGAACGTAGATCACTATATCAAGGGAAATTGATGATATTTCCCAGATTTCCGGAGTTTTAAAGACCCGCTCTATTTGGATTTTGAATTTTTCCTAATCAGAATTTTAAGATTCTTTTGATTCCCATACAGGTATATGGAAATCGTTGTTCACACCTTTTTGAAAACAGCTGTAATGCCCTCAATACTTCTCATCAAGAATTCCTTCAGAAAGAAATTAACTCAGTTAATAAGGGAATAAAAGAGTACAAAAAAAAATCCATTAAATTTAATATAAAAACGCAAAAGAAATGATAATGAATTCGTTAAAAAAAAATATTATTATGATAACAATGAATTTATTATACAATTCAATATTACAATAATATAGTATTTTAATACAGTAAATTAAGTTTATTATAATTTACGCTTTTTTCCATATTTAAATTTATAATATTTCTATCTAAAAATTAAATATTGATAAACTTAGTTTAATATTCATATCATAAAGGAATTTCATTAATATTGCGCCTACCTCATACATTAATTAGCAATTAACAATAATATTATCGTGTGGTACCAAATTAACGTATCCTTTTAAATCTTTCTTGATTTTATCCCAAGAGGAGTCAGTCATGTTGTATTTGTTAAATTTATATGTATATGATGAAAATACTCTATTTCTTGTGGAGACACATACTTCATTTAAAGTCTTTTTATGCATACAGAATCTAATTATCGCTTCTAATGTTTTCTTATAACTAAAATATTCATCATCATTATCATACACAATACTAAACAATAATCGTTTTAAAGGTGCATCACAATTATCTAGCAAAATATTAATATGTAAATTGAGCCAAATATTCCCTAAATCAAGATATTGTAATGTTATTGGTAATATTTTGGCAAATTTCATTACTCGCTCTTTCGTTATTTCTTCAGTTCCAACGTTACTCCATATTAATGTGAGAAATTGAAGTTTTTGTAAATTATTAATAAGCTCTAAGAGTTGATCGGAAAGTTCAATATGTGAAATGTTGAGATAAATAATGTTTGGGCAGAAGTTTACAAGTGTTTTTAGTAACGATGTTTGTGATTCAATTTTATCACAATTTGAATCAAGTTTTAATCGTTGTAATAATAAACCGGATTTTTCCAAAATTTGTAATATATTAGATGCGTGAAGAAAGTATGATGCTATTTCTATAGTGCTGATTTTACAGTGACCATTTTCTAATGCTTTCAATATCTTCTCTTCTTCATCACAATATAAAATACGAATAATTTTCAGTTCCTCACAATTGAGTAAAGTTTTGAACTCTTCATTATAAGTACAAAGCTCTATTATAATTTCTTGTAATGAATTTTTTTGACTTTCTATAGCTGTAATAATGCTGTAGAATTCTTTAGGTAGTTTTTCTGTACCTAATATTTCACCACCTATTAATTTAATTCGCTTAAGCTTTTCTTGTGATTTTATTATGCATACTAATGTATGAAATAGTTTTAGATCAAAATATGATTCAAATGCATCATATGTCAAGGTATTAATTTTCGTGGTATTTTTTGCCAATATTCCTAATAATATATTAGCATCTTCAATGAAATATTCAGATATTACTCCAACTGATAAATCTTGTAATCTTGAAAAAAAATGTTCATTTCGCCCTAATGAGTAAAAAATCTCTGATTTAAGATACGCGTAAGCGTAGGAAATATCAAGATTAAATTTTGATAAAATGGCACCACTCTCAATGAATAATTTGAACAATAAATTAGCGATATCCCATGTTAAAGAATCAATATGTTGTTGTGAATTGAAACTTTGGGAAATTATCCATTGATGAATCTTTTTTTCTAGTTGATATAAATCAAGAACTTTTAAAAATTTTGAATAATGAAATAAAGTATAAGGAAATTCTACTATTATTCCGCATTCTTTTAAAATAAATTTATCATATTCATTAAGGGTTGAAAAATATCTTGATATATACATTGGTTTTTGTTCGAATGAGAATGGATCTCGCCAAAGGATGGGAATTGCCATATTGCACCAATGCCGGCTCACAAGTACGCATGAACGTAAAGAATAATATTCTTCATTTAAATTGCTAAGAATATTTTCCATCAATTCGGGCATGTCGCCCATAAATATTTTGGATGTCATAAGAAAAGTAGATGAATTTGTATCAGAAATACCGGTACGTAGTAAGTATGTATAATATCTGGTATATCTGGTATATAGGGAATAAAACACAATTATCAGAGATAGTAGTTAGGTGGTTCACGTTATATAGTGATACATTACTCTCGTAACACATATGCAGATCGCGGTCACATGATATTTTAATAAATTTGATTACTAATATCGAACAAAACTGCATAATACTCCATTATTCGGTAGGCCTGTTTTGTGTAGTACTAGTATCATAAAGAACCATTAAAAAGTAAATATTAAGACAAGCCGAGTTCGTTTTTACGTTAACGTATATCTACTTTATTTATATCATTATAAAATTTAGTCTTAATTTATAATTAACGTCAACTTTTTCTTGTGTAATTTTTTTTTTCACTGACAAGTTTATTTCTTATTAATTATAATAAAATCGATTAATTATACCAAATTGTATCTTAACGTTAAGCTTTGTTTGATCAGCAACATATACTGCAGCATCAGTTGACTAAAAATAGTGTCACCTAAACGACAGAATAATTTATTAAGTAAAAAAAAAAAATCAAATTTAAATTATTAGTTTTGATTTTTGTTATTTTGGCCTAAATTGTAAATTTAATATGACTAAAAAATATCGAAGTGGGATCTTTGCTATGAAATGACCTTCCTAGACTATTTAGATTTTATGAATAAAATTAAAATTTACTAGCGATTCAGTAATCCCATTTGAATAAACATTTTTATTTATAAAGCCTAGCGAATAAAAAAAAAGTTTATTCAAATTGAATTGCTGGTAAATTTTAATTTATTCATAATTTTTCCGTGTCACTGACCTAGAGTCAGGGTTGTAAAATTTCGGTAATTTATAGTAAGTTATCAAAATGGTAACTTACCGGTAACTTACTGTAAGTTTCGTACAACATATTTAGTTCAAAATCAACAAGATTTTAAGATCTTGTATAACAAATCAAAATTTTCGTTTATCGTTATGAAGATGCTATTTTTTTTTTTTTTTTTTTTTTAACCCGGGTTTCGATCCGGGACGCCGGTGGCGTATTTTATTAAATATTTATATATAATTCATACTAAATGTTTCAAATACATCAGGCTTTATTAGCCGTTCTGACTACTTTCTCCACCAATATATTTCATTATCTCAATTGCTTTCTTTACTCTATATTTGATTACTGACTCTAATATAGGGTTCGGGATTGGAGCTCCCCATTTTAGTTGTGTATATCGATACCAAATTTCATGTATGGTAGTTATGTTTATCCAGTTTCTTAATTGTTTATTTCCGGTATAGTGGTCTGCAAACATGGCGTTAAAATTATTAGGCATTTTTATACTGGTTGTGGGATCAGCCAATTCTATAACTATTTTCCAAATCTTTTTACTTGTCGGACAGTCAAGCGCAAAATGTTCAGGGGTCTGAATTACCTCCAGGCAGTTTGAACAGTTTCCTGTGTCATTACAGTTAATATGCCTTATTCTATGTTCCAAAGGGAGCGCTCTGCGTTGTAGATGCCAATATATATCCTTTTTAATATTGGAAACCTTCCTTGTATTCATCCATTGCCAGGTGTTTCTCATCGAATCATCTATTAGTTGACTCCAATTCTTGATATCACTAAAAGTATCCTTTTTTAAAAACCTAACTGTATCTCTAACCGAGAAGTCTTTCTCTAAAATATTTGCTATGATAAGGTTTTCTTTTTTCTATTGCCAATTTCCAGTACTATCCTCTATTCTCCCCTTAGCCTGCTTCCAAGCAATTACGTAAGGCTTCCATTGCTCTGGCCAACCTTTTGTTTTGACAGGATTACCATTTAGAGCTGCTTTGACTGTAATGTTTCTTTTAATACTTAATACTTTTTTGGGATATCGACCTCTCTACCTTAGCCTACAAATTATCTCTAGTTAACAGCTTTATCTATATAGTTATTAAGTGAGCATCTATCATATCAGTCAGTGTTGGTACATTTAATTCTCCTTGTTTAAATAGAAGCTGAAAAATGGCGAATCTTAGAAGTAACTTAGATTTTGCTCTGATCTATTTTCTTAACATATCATTAATAGTAACTATTTGTTTTCTAGTTGGCAGTATTATATATGCGGTATATCATACTCTAGAGATAACTAGAGATTTTGCTAGTGTTATTTTCCCTTTGAATGAAAGATTATGCTCTGACAATTTTTTAATCTGTTTTTGTAGTTTAACGATAGTCTCTTATCATAAATGACTATTTACTATGCTTTGTGACATTATTTTATAACCTAGGACCATTATGGATTTATCATCCTTCATGAGCTGAAAGTCCTTTCCTCCTTTGAGTTTTACATATTTGGTGTTTGTTGTCAGTAGCATTAGAACAGATTTCATAGTATTTATTTAGCATTTGCAGCTATTTTATAGGACTTTGCTATTTGTAAAAAACTATTCCAGTCTAAAGGTGAGTCTATTCCAATTGTTAGATCATCCACATATGCTGCAACTTTGAATCTTTTGTTGGCTACTTGCAATCTCTGCAGATTCTTTTTATCTTTTGCAAAAAAAGCTCAAATACGATTATGAATAGAAGTAGAGAGAGAGGATTCCTCTGCTTACTCCTCTTTCTACTCTAAAAGGTTCTGAGAGTCTACTTGCATCTGAAATATAAGCCCTCTGCTTAGAAAGTAATATCTTAATTAAATTTATAAATGCTAGTATGAAACATATTTTTTTTAGAGTTTCTATTAGATATGTATAGTTAACTCTATTAAAGTCTTTTTCTAGTTAATAAACAGTATCTAATACTGCCTAGTCTGATCAGACTAGTTCTTTAGAGTAGTTATAATATTTAAGACTGTATCTAAGATTGACTAGTTTGAAATAAAACTTTGTTGGTGGACACCTATAATTGTCTGATATATTTTTTTTACTTGTTTACTAGTATTTTTCTAAATATTTTAAGATCACAATTGGTTAGAGATATTGGTTACTAGTTTCCTATCTTTTTTTGTATTTCTAATTTTTTCAGAATTAAAGTAATGATACTTTTGTACTAAGATGAGAGTAGCTTTCTATTGACTAAAACTTTATTAAAAATAATTTTCAGTACTGGTGCTATTATATCATTTATTTTTTTTATAGAACTCATATGACAGTCTATCTATACCTGGTAATTTGTTATTAGTCAGAACTTTTATTACACCCTTAATTTTCTTTATTATTATCTTTTTAATTTAATCACAATTTTGTTCTTTAGACACTGTATTCAAGTCTATAGTAAGTTTTGCAATTGCTTC